CAGTAGTAGTTATGCGTTTATTGTGCATTATTTTAGCAACAGCAACAAACTGCAAATTCAGGTTAAAAACGGCAGCTCGAAATTCGCTGCACACTCCTCAAGCATAAAACACGCACACAATTAGCATACACAGGACGAGCGCTCACTAACACCTGTCACAGCTGGACACTCGAAGTGCGTTGTTCAAACAAAGTAAGACGCGCGAAGCGAGTGCACAAGATACACAACACAAGCGCGAACAACTTTCACAATTCCTCCTGGGTCGTGTGTCAGCAGCACGCTCTTTACGTAAACGCGACCGTCAAAGCGTGCGAAGTGATTTTAGTCTTCTCCCGAATTACGAGTCTGAAAATCGAGCGAGCAGAAGAGACCACGCTCCGCGGAGGCGGCGCATTGCGAAGACGACGACCTTTAGAGGCAGCGCCCGACGCGTCCCTGTCGCACCAAGTTCGCCACTGATAACGATAAGGCGCTGAAGTTATCGAAGCTCTGAAGACATCGAAACGGTTTATGGTGTATATAAATAACTTGCTGTTAGCATACTAGACAACGTACGCTCTGTTGCGTAGTGATTAGCAGCCGCGCGCTAAGAATCGAGAGGTTGCTAGTTCGATTCCGCGCGACAGACACTTGCCTTCAGTTTTTTTTTTTTTTTTTTAGGGGCGAAGCTCCTTATGGCGTGGCTTGGGCGTCCTTCGTAGTACGTAATCACCAGTGGCACATACCCGAAATAGGTACAACATTTCACCTCCAAGGTGGTGCCGGTGAGAGATTTCTTCTGTGCGTTATTTAACAATAAAAAATAGTGCTCAATGTACATGCCAATGGCTGCTAATGGGGAATGAGAGACAGGATCATTCGGCTTTTAGTCAACGCGCACGCTGCGATCGCATTAGCAGCCATTGGCATGTACATTGAGCACTATCGGACCGAAGAAAGGGTTGCTACATTATACTCGCTGGGTGTAACCTCCTTAGTTTTAGAAACGTTTAGCGAGAGTTGAGCCACAGGGCCATGAATACAATGAACTAGTATATACCATGAATGAATTCGAGGTGGTTAAAGGGGGGAAGCAGATACGAAGCGCAAGCCGTAAGAAATTAAAAGCTGAATCCCCCTGTCTCTCATATCACATTAGCAGCCACTGGCATGTACATTGAGCACTATCTTACAGGAAAAGGTTGCTACGTTATACTCGTTGGGCATAACCTCCTTGGTTTTAGAAGGGTTTAGCGAGCATTGAGCCGCAGTGCCATGAATACAGTGAACTATTATATACCATGAACTCAAGGTGGTTGAAGGTGGGAAGTAGACCTGAAGCGCAAGCCGTAAGAAAGTGTGCGTGTGCCACCTCTCGTTTAGACCTTGGAATGTCCACTGAATGGCGGTGCTTCTATATGGGCAATATATTGTCACGAGGTTGTGATACACGCAGCACTTGAGAGGAAGCACGCAGGAGTCAGGGCGGTGTCAGGCGAACTGTTTATTGGGCGAACTTGTGCCCAGCAAAACAGGGCCAAACACAACTCACAGCAACAGCGGCGTGAACAGTCGTCGGCCGACGGAAAAAAAAAAGACCCCCAGTGGCGCACTGCGCCGGCTTTTTATACACGCGTTGTAACGCGTTCCAAAGTGGCATACAAGATAAACGCGGCCTGCGTTGCGCTTAACAGAAAGTGATAGCGTCTTCCTTCGTAAACCAAAAGAACCGCACGTGTCAGTATGATAAAAAGATGCGAGATGGTGGGACTTGGAGTGTTCAATAGATGGACGAAGAGACACACAGACAGATGCATGGATGAACACATGAACGGACGCAGGGGCGGATGCATGAACGAACGCAGAGACGGGCGCACGAACAGACACATGGACGGTCACACAGACGGACGCATGGACAGACGAATGCTCCACTCGCCCCACTCTCCATCATTCACTCCGTAGATATGCTGCCATTTTTTTTTCCTTTGCAATCTCTTAGTACATACTTTTCAACGTCACTTCCGTGACAAAAGTACGTCAGCGGAGCCCTGATTGAGCAAGGCATAAAACACTTTCATGTTAAAAATAAAAAAAAGAAGCGAGAGCGAACAAACAATAAACAGATCAAATGACACAAAAGGAAGCAAGTATACGCATGCACCCTTTCAATGAACTAATAATAATAATATAATAGTAATAATAATAATGGTGTTCTTTAACGTGCACTGATATCACACAGCACACGGGCCTCAACCACTTCGCTTCCACTAAAATGTGACCACCACGGTTAGGATCGAACCAACGACCTCCGGGTTTGTAGCAGGGTACCGTAGCCACTGATCCACCGTGGTGGACCTTTCCACGCGCGGTCACGATGTAGATAGTATTGTACGACAGCGTGACACGACACCTGAGTTTGCTAGATGTTAGTGCAATACGAAATGAGTTGAAGTCCTTACAATAGTACTTCCTTATGGAAAAATACAAACCTATATTTGGCTCTTGTTTCATTCATTTAGGTGAAATGGTTCAATATTATTGATGATGATCATGTGCAATGCTTGATAGTGCAAGGATAACGTATGACCAGAGACAAGAGGATAAATTAGGTGCAGTCGGTGACTAATTGAATCCAACAGACTATATGGAATGTCGCTGTGTAGAGGTTATAATACTGTCTCTACATGCGGCTTACACACGCCTTAAATATATACACGTATTGCATACAGCAGATATATACGCGCATTAAAATCTCAACAGTCGTATTGATTGAGTTGCTTCAAAAATGCAATAAAATACTTTGAAGCTATTACATCTAAACTGTGTCATTACGATTAACGACGCAGCCTCCCCAGGACACTTGTATGGATACAAAAGTATGAAGGCAGAGGCTGTACATAATTGCTGATATTGCAGTGGCAGCCACCGTCCAGAGGCTGTTCTGCTAATCTCTCGACATTATCATGTGCAATGAATTCACTCGCGCCAGCATTTCAACCAGAATATTTACTAACGTCAGCATTACAACCACTTTGACTTTACCGACGTCCGAGGGATGGAGTGAAGCCGTGAAGATTTTTACCCCTGGTATGATGATATTGTGATCCCGTGAAATCACATTTTACCACCATAGGCAGGCGTAAGGTAACACTTTAGGGGGGGGGGGGGGGGCGAAGGTTCATTGCAGCGCGCACCCCCCCCCCCCCCCCAAGTCAAAATATGGGGCAGACATTGCGCTCCTACTTATGCGACTAGGGGGCCGGCACCCTGACCTTCCCCTCCACCCCGCACACACGCCTATGTGCAACAAAGAAAATTGTCTAAGGGTCTAACACTTACTAGGGTCGTGGCACATGGCTGGAGTCATAATGGCCCTTAGGCTGATAGCTACGGACACCCATTATTTTGTATGAGTTAATTAGTTGCCATTAGTACTTTTTTCCGGTCCATTAATTTCTTTAAATCGTTTTGTGTGTGTCACGCAACCCTAACCCAATGTTTATGTTGCCTAATGTTCGGTACACGTCGATTGAAATAGGACAATTTAGGGCTAAGTATACGACCGCTTTTTCGTTTCATTTCGGGTCCACATAGGCGTAGTTTTGATTCGAACACGTAAGTCAGAGCCAACATAATCTGTGTAGAGCAGATACGTAACGATATGACGGGCTTGTTTCGAGCAATCGCGCATTTAACTCGTTGCGCATTTAAGTCTTCCCTCACCCATTTCGCAGTTCAGGAGAGTAACCTGAATATTTATCTTCCGGCTAATCTGCCTACCTTTCGTTTCTAATCTATCCTTCTCTTCTCTCTCTCTCTCTCTCTCTCTTGCCAATCATCAAGAAGCGATAACTAATGGTACTGTTTTGGTTATGTTCACAAGCATTTCTTTTTTTATGCGGCCAGCTAGCCCTCAAGGGCTTGCACAGTAGACCACGCTCTCTCTGTGGTGCCCACGAAGCATGCAGACCAACCGGACCAATGACGAACACCGCCTGTGCTCTGATGGATCTCTATAGATATGCTAAATGGACTCCCCCGAAGAGACGTTACACTGCTTTATCATTTATCGTTAGGTATGGTATTTACGAAATAGTATTCCTTCCACATTGTAATGGCCGACAACGCTCTCTGCGATGCCTGTCGTAGCTAGGAGACACTACGCTACATCCTGTGTGATCGCCCGGCCTGTAATCTTCGGAGACAATCACTGGCATCCGTTATAGCGCACCTTGACAATAGACACATGCGTGTTGAATCTGCTCTAGAATGTCGTCGACAGAGTAGACGGCAGTTGAGGGCGGCGACCAATGAACCTGAGATCTTTTTAAGAAAAAAATGACCTGGACAAGCGTTCAGGTCCTTTTTTCTGATGATGCCGCATGGTGTTGCGTTCTGCTTCAGATTGATGGAATGATACTGACTGCGTGCTTGTGTGGGCGCGCAGTGTGGTGTGTTACATTCTCTTTCGTATCTTTCTTTCAATCTCCCTCATCCCGTTCCCACAGATAGGGTAACAAACTGGTTATCCTGGGCTGAATAAAGCGTTTCAGTTCAGCTCTATTTTTTTAATGGCATGAACACCGAGTGAGATCCTCGTTTCTCTCCCAAGAATTTCGGGTCAAGCAGTTCCGATTTTTCGAATATTCAGAAAACATCTAAAAAGTTGAAACAATTTGTTTAGGATTAAGTTAAGAAGTACATTTTATACATCTAATTAGACATCACAATTTCGTTTAACACAAGGGTGAATCAACTCTTATGACAATTATTAAAACTGAATTGATAGAGTTCATTTGAAGGTTGTGAGCTGCTGGGATGACTGCGATTTCCGGCGGAGCAGATCGCAACACCGCGCTTCGTTCTACACGGCTTCGTTCATCGGCAGCGCAGCGAAAGCTTAAGTGTACCCAAGGTATACACTATAGCGCACACGAAAGCCGACTGTGCGAGTGTCGTTACCAGACACCTAATTCAAGGCCCCCTCCAGTTTTTCGTTTTTCCTCTAAAAGAGGACTCACTTTGTCCGAACCAGGATACTTGTCTCGCCGCCGCAGCCGCCGCACTGCGTTCACGCTCGGGACTCCACTCCGGCAACCGCTCAGCCCGCGCCCATGCGTCAGCTTCTGGAACAAAAGGTGCGAATTCCTCACGAACAGTGGAACATATCGGGCACAAAGTCAAGCACGTAATTTCTCTGTCCTGGTTTCAAAACTCAGGCGCGTATTCACAAACCAACCTAATTCTTTCCTCGAGTTTTTTTTATCGGTTTTAAACCTTTATTACGCATGATAAACGAATCGGACCAATTCACACTTCTCCTTATTTTACGCCCTGTTACCAGTTTTTGCCTTAAAAACCCATGTAGACAGTACAGGAAGTTCAGAAAAACATGAGGTAAGGCCGAGGTTGTTTTGTGAATACGGGCCTTAAAAGCTCGCTTCAGTTACAGTCAAACGACTCAATATTTTTTAGCATCCCCTAGTGGTCCTTAAAAGCCCTCGAACAACATCTGAAAGCACAAAGAAAGAGCGCGTTATTTTTTCTTAGTGCTTCCTATATTTTCGGCACAATTGGTAACGCCAGCAGTCTGTTGATATGATGTCATTAGGAAATAAGCTCTCGATTAGTGCTTATACGAGAGATATCAGTTGTGAATAGTCTCCAACCTATTTTTTTGTTGTTATGCTGTCGCAAGCTCATTCTATCTTGTCTAACATGACTAAAGTGGCAATCGACAGATTTCACTTAACTTTGAGCAATTTCTACCATGCAACCAGAGATAACAGCACGTAGCCAAAAAGAATGAAATCCTTATAGACTTCTCAACGATTAGTGCTAATATCCTCCACGTGTTTTATACAAAAATTAGTCAATTGAATGAAATGATGCTTGTAGGACGGACATCGAGGGCGAGAAATAAACAACCCTTCTTGTCATCGAAACAACATTGTGGGAATTAAGGACCCTTTAGTGAGGTTTTACACATTTTTCTGCTTATATATCTTAAAGGCAAGAACACCTACATGTCTAAGCACCTATGTGAACATCTACAGGCCTACGGGATGGCTTTATCCTATCCCATAGTAGAGTACCTACTAATCTAAATCGTTAACCTTTTTTTTCTAAACACAAGCTTCATAACCTACGGTAACACCTACATTGTTAGTGACACACCTTTTTTGGCCTGCTTTTCAAGAGCTTAAAGCGATCCTTTTCTTTCCTCCAATTCTCAACGCCAGCCGTAGTTTTATATTCCAGTTTGTGCAACATTGAGGCACTCAAGGCAAACGACACGACATATTATATCAATATTAAGGCAAAAAAAGGTATCACTTATAATAGAGCGTGAAACAATGGGGAAAATTGTTCAATGAAAATCATCGTATCCACCCAAAGCGTATTCAAGTTGAGAGGCAAGGAATAAGTAGTATCGGGCAACTTGCTACTACGTATATGCACTATCAGAATAACCTTTGCTAGAGAAATGACATTGTCCTGTTGAAGGACTGTGCTGACAATGTGCAATACGTGACTTATAATGTGACATGATGACTCGTAATCATAAATAAACAGTCAGTCATGTGCGCCATAATAAGGTAACTTTAATTGCGTACAAAAACCAAGAAAGCGTATTTGGCAATCAACCCTTTAGATAAGTGCACTAGCACATTTGTCAAGCTTAGAATTCATCGGATACACTGTCTACAGCAAGCAAAACTAGAGGAACAAAATCAGTGAGGGTAACACGCAGCAGCAGGTGTCGAGTCATGAAATCCGTCAGTGCATTAACATGCAATAAAGGAAGTACGAGACCATCGGATCTTTCTGGCACTGAACTGGAGACACGTGCTTGGCGAAGCTTGTGAAGAAGCACACAAAAAAGGTTAACAAAACACTCAATCCCACGCGATGAGTGGTAAAGCATAATATCATGACCTGGGCGTTGAGTAACTAGACGACGACAACTAGTATTAAGGATTGGGCGACTGCAGTTCGTATGTCGGTTGAAATAAAATAAAAACGAGTAATCTCTAGCACGTCAGGTCGAAAGTAAAATAAGGCAAAGTATTAGGTAAACATATGTGGTACCGAGGAAAGGTTAAACAATTGAGAATGACAGATAATCGAGTCCTTCGATCAGGGCTGACATTGAACAATAAGACGTCCCGGGTGAACCCTGGTAGTTGCCCTAATCCCACCCTCTTCTTTTTTTTCTTTTTTTACAACCACATCCACAAAGTGCGACACAAGGTTGCTGCTAAACATGTCGGAGGTGGCAATGTATGAACGTTTCGTGAGTTAAAACTGCAATAACAAAAATGACTAAAAATAAAACACACAATGTTATGTTGCGTCCTTTGTTCAAATATAATAAACAACGAACAATTACATTAGCGTGTGCTGGCACCTTCTGTAAATGGTGAATTGGGTGCCTGCCCCTAATGCTGGCCCTCCATGCAATAAGCTTAACTGTGCGTTTGCCAGGCTAGGCACGCAAGGTTGCCAATGGCTGTCAGCACAGCAATCAGGGACTTCTGGCTATTGTGACGTTTATGTCGCTCAGAAAAGTATAACTTTGTTGATTATATTCTTGTCAAACTAAGCAGCATTGTGCAAAGTTGCTTGTTAAGATTCTCGACCAGAAGACGAAGCCTTCAAATTTTGCAAGCTGGGACGCTGGATCTTGGTAAAGTATACGAGCTGCTCGATTCTTCGCCGTTATGTTCCCTGAATCGTCGAATATCGCAACGGGCTGCTCGATCATTAGTCTCATGTGCCCTTAGCAGTCGATTGACGGAACGCACGATGCTACACGTCCAGTCGTATCAGATGCCGTATTAAACCAAGTATTCAGCACCTTACACCCCTCCTTCTGCGAGTCACTCATTTGTTTTCCCAAGCGTGAGCGACACACCGCTCCACAACGAGGGTGATAATCGCAATTGAAGCCTGCGTTTGAGACTACCTCTTATGAAGCGGGGAGTTGGGATTACCCGTAATGCAACAATATCAGTGCCACCTCAAGTAGTACCTAGATATCCACGCCATAATGTAATCCGCAGTCCTCTAATGTAGAGTGTTTATCGCACCAATGAAACTCAGCAATTCTACCCCATCTGTACAGATGACGCCTGCAACAATTCAACAATTTTGTTTTGTAAAGCGTGCTTTTGCCACTCACGTAGTGGTCCTGAGGAGAAGCTTACTTATTAGTCAACAGACGTGAGTTATTGTTGTAAGAAAGAGTTATATCTCTTGGCTCGATTATTAGGCGAAATCCCTAGATGTCTCATCGAAAATTAAATTGACCGTCGGTGTCGGCGGCGTCCCATGGTGTCAACATGCGTGGTGTCAAATATCATCATCAAATGATGACGTCATCACATAACGCCAGCATGACCTCTTAAGTCAGCAACACTTGAGATGTTGTAGTGACGCCAGCATGACGTCCCATAAATTAAAGCTTCTCCCTGAGGTAATCGCATCACATCCAGGTCTAGTCAAAGGTTGGGCTGATCCTAGAAACAGTGCAGAAAATTGAAGTGCAGAACACTTTTTCACTGACGGTGGTGGAGTAGCAACACATCGACTCAGAAGGAAAAGAAAACTGCTATCAGCCTTCCATTCGTCGAGGTCAATGCATAAAAGGTGCTGCGAGTTTCTTTTTTACATTTTAGACTCTTTTTCTTGTCTACAAGCATGCATAAACAAAGAAGAAAATGGCTGCGTTTTCGCTAAACTAGGCCCAATGGAGCCAACGAAAGCTTGTTTACTTGGTTACGCTTGTTTACCTTCACAGCTAAAGCGAAGTTGACCAACCAAACCATACGGCTAGTCGAACGTTTCGTACTGCGCGCACTCCCTATAATCGTCTCATCAGTTTCCGAAGCTGTCGCCATAGTCGACGCGAGGAGTTCCACGCCCCTACACTACTATTAGACGCTCGCGCACTCCTCTGTGAACGCATGCACGCACTCCTTGATTTCACACCTCGTACGACGAGACAAGGCATTCGGAAAGGTAGACATACAATCCGACAAAGGCATTCGCTGCAGGCTCTGACAACTGTAACGTCGCAACTAAGCTTTGCACAGCTTGTCACCGGGTATTTGTTCTTTGCTTCAAAGCCACACGGAAATACACAGAGAAACGCGCTCGACTAGCCCAGTAAAGGCTTTCGCTTTAAAAAACTATTTTAGTTGGTGTACGGAGCATTTTGCCTGTTACTGAGAAATTGTTGAATAGGAAGTGTCACTGCAGCCAACGTTTCGACGAGTGGACTTGTCTACGTCAATGCAGGTACTCTCCTCCTGATCTTCAAGGGTATGTTACGCTTCTGAATGTGTTGGGGCATTGGATTTAGTTCACGCATATCAGAGTACGGTTAAAGTGACTAATCCCCTCCCCCAAGGAGCTTTTCTTATTTACGAGCTACTGTTTTAAATTTAATTATTGAAACGTTGTTTCCAGCGACACTTTCTGCACTGCTATCAATTGCGCAAACATATAAATTTTGACTCAACGAAAAAGCTATAAAATATGTTAAATAAGAAAATATGTACATAAAAATTGAAGGAAAAACGTTTACTGAGACAAGTATATATGAAGCATTTATTAGTATAGCTTCTGAACCTTGTTCATATGTCTAGAAGAAAAAAAAAATGGCCCCGTATCTAGATGTTAATCTGCAAATGTCGTCGAAAGACGATAAGCTTTGCGGCTGGAGAGAGTGAACAAAACGTTTATTTGATGTTCTGCGCGAGAAAATCGCGGAATGGTATTCTGGAGGCGCTGCGTTAGAGTGCCTCGAGCGTGCAGTAGAGGCAAATGAGCGCATCAACTGGCAGTTATCTTCGAAAACGAAGCGCGTGGCTCTGAGATGGGCGTGTACGCCCGTCTCAAGGGTGATAAGGTCTATAACGCAAGGCGACGGGTAGTTGCCACCACCGTGTCGTCTTAGCAAAGCGTTAGAAACACTTGCCTTTTCGTGCAAGCGTTGTATGGTCAGCGCAGCGTGATAAGCGCTACTGTCCTTAGAATTACTTATGTAAGCCTTTTCTAGTGAAAGACGCACATAAAGAATATATACGTGTTATTATGGTTAAGATTAAGATTTGTAGGG